TGTGTGTGTGTGTGTGTGTTATTTTGATGGATAAAACTCTCATCCAAACATGGATTTGACGATTTCTTTATTGAAAGACTACAGCTTTGTTTATGCATCACTACCATTTTCATAACTGACGCAGTCACCGTGGATCTGGAGGCTGCCAGACCAAAAAGAAACACGTGCAATTAAGTCACATTAACTCCAGTGAGGTGCAGCAGGGCCAGTGTAATTAATGAGAAGTTCTTAGATTTAAAAGCCTCACACTTGAAGAATATGAGACCCAAATTTCCGGCTGCAGAAGAAAACAACACTGTGCTGCATTTAACCTTCAGACACTGAAAATATGAAGAACAAACTTAAAGAAGCACATCAGAGTGTGAGAGATGCCTTCAGCATTTAACTTAATGCATTCATACTCAAACACTGCTGCATAGTTAACAAAATACTTAATGTCTTTTATGATTTATGAGCAAAACAGACCAGGAAGGTTTCGACATAGAGGAAGAATGTGCATACAAGAGTCCTATGTCATACATTGACTTATTATGTGACACGTGTATTATCAATGTTACCATGTTAACACCAGTGACACTTTAGGTTTAAGGAACCTGACCCAGGATCAGGAGAGGAGTGGGGATGCATCTCACCCTGGGTTAGGATCCTTTAAAGTGTGTCAACTCTGATTTAATACTTAGGTCCCTCCTTCTTCAAGTTTTTGTAGTCTGTGTTGATGGCGACAAACTGAGGGAGAAGATATCAAATGCAACAGAATCTCAATGTTAGAATACCTGCAACCAAACAAACATCTAGATGATATTTAGGGTGTAACCCCACAGTGTGTCCTTATTTACCTTGTACTGATATGTGGGGTCAAGTTTATTCCAAGGCTCAGGGTTGTTGGTCTTGTTCCAGCTAAACACACAAACAAATAAACAAACTTGAGATAAACTGGCATCATGTCAGGCTGTTAAAGAATCTCATCTACATGAATAAAGCTCTCTATTCAGAACAAGCACGCCAATATTCATCCCCCACTGATACTGATACCCCTGAGAGACGCTTTATTTCATCCCTGCTTAGTTAGATAGCACACAAAATAAAAAATAAAATGAGATAAAACAGAAGTTGAGGGTCACATTCAAACTCAACGCACAGTATGTGCTTTAATCCCGCTGTGCTGCCACCAGGACGCTTGTTCTCATAATTTCATCAAGCCTGTAAACAGTCAGCTGCTGTAAAGAAGTGATGAAAGACCTGCAACGGCGCACCATCCTGTGAGCTCTTGTTAAAAGCACTTAGCTGTGCTGTGCTGTTATTGGAGTATCATTATGAGCAGATCAACAGTTTGGATAGCAGCGGGAGGAGAGGATGTCCAAACAAGAGGCGGTTGGAGGGAGAAATGAAAGCAAGCAAGGGTACCCTGTGGTCAGTAACACTCAGAAAACAGATCTCTGTGTTTAATCATGGTGTAAAGTGTTCGTCTGCCCTCACTAGGTGTCTTAACACATCTATTGACAAGCTTGTTAACTGATTCTTTGCGCTCATTGATGCACTGGACCCAATGCAGAAAAAACGTGTTATGTTTAGTGTTTAACAACGAGAATACAGAGATGTTCAAATTATGGAACATGTCTTCTAATGCCCATTAAAGAAGCAAGATTCATACCGACATTACATTTTACTTTTTTTATAGAATGTCAACATAAGTCAGTTATTGAATCGTTTTAAGGTCCTTACACAACATAGGGTCCTTTGGCCAAGCGGAACAGATACACAGCCGCACCGCCGAGTCCCAAACAGATGAAGAAGAACTGAGGGATGAGCTGAAGTAGAAAGAAAGAAAATCAAAAAGGTTATGATTCTTAAATATAAAGTTCTAGTTTATTTTGTCAGAAATAGAAAACTGTCAGAGGCAACACGCCTCTCTGGTTGGTTGGGTGGTAGGTTGGTGGTTGATTGGCTGGTTGATTGATTGATTGATTGATTGATTTTGTTCCTTTAACTTGACTCTGTGTTTGGGGTGCTATGGAGCCCCTTGACAACATCAGAGCAGACTGGTTGTTATCAGGAGGGGGGCCTTAAAGAGACAGAAGCTAAAACCAAGCTTTCCAGACAGAGGCTGGAACGAGGGGCTGCAGTAATGGACAGTATATGAAGACAGCGATGTGTTTATCTAAAGCTTTTAAAGTTATAACCCAGATTTCCTTTTAGTAGTGTGTGATTTGGACACACCTGCAACCTATCTGACAAACTCTCCATCTGTCTGTCCGTCTCCATGCTTTCAGTCTCTGTACCCATCTGACTCTGGCTTTAACAGACTGTCTCATCTCTGTCTGTCGGTCTGTTATAACTTGCAGCTGTTTGAGGCTCACAGGGATTTGCTCCCTGCAGCTACTCTCTCTCTCTCTCTCTCTCTCTCTCTCTCTCTTTCTCTCTTGCTGTCTGTCTCTCTGCCTGTTAGTCTGTTCTGATGATATTAAGGAGCCCTGGTGGAGTCTCACAGGGATTTCTTCCCTGCAGTTTCTCTCTCTCACTGTCTTTCTCCTGGGACGCTGATGACAAGAAGTTAAAACTCTGTCACTCAGTTCTCTGACAGCAGAGGTAATAAAAAAATAGAAAAGCAGAGGTAATCCCGTCCCCTGTAGGGACAACTTATATCTATTTCATTCCAACTACTCGTTTAGATTCGGGTGGTTTGTAAAGGTCGCAGAGTTTTTGAAGACTGAGCTTGTCTCAGTTTGACTTGAAGCAACTGAATAAAAACTAAATGATACATTAGAGTTTTTGAAACTTAGTTTGACTAAAAAATTTGCCAACACTCTCATAAGGTTTTACTTTCTGTGACTGTATCTTATTACCAGAGGAGAAGAAGTGAAATAATAGGTGAAACCAACAGCATGTATTTCATCAAAATATAATATCATAGAAAACAAACATATATTGCCATATGTTTGTGCTAAAACATGAATTTCATTTTTTTAAAGGTCTAGCTGTGCACAAGGGCTACAAATTAGCTTCAGTGAGCTGCCCTGCTGCGTAGAGTATAAGTTATATCACATTTCTTTGTGTAACAGTAAAAAGATCCACTCAATACAAAGACTAATAAAAGGGACAAACAAAGTTCTAGAGTTAATCTAACTGTATTTACATTGATATTAATGTAGCCAATGTGCATTGCTCTGGCAGAATAGAAATGAAACAAAACTAAAAGTACAGGAGCTGTTCAAAAGCTGATGCATTCAGTGTAGCACATCCACATTTCATTCATTTTCATGTCATGGTTGTTTTATTTTATTGCACTTTCTTGAATAAAATTAAGGAAATTGGGCAATTCAGAGCCTTTGATTGGTTCCTGATTAAACCCGATCCAAATGTTTGTACATTTTACTGTGAAAACAGGGTAATTACCACTTTGCAAAAAACATGAAAGCAAAACAAAAGAAACACAACAGGAAGTAAATAAAGATTACTTACGCCGGGGTGCCTTTTAGCATGCTCTACAGCTGTCCGAAATATCATCGCTCCAGTTTAAGAAGAAAGGATTTTATTATAAAGTCAGTAATTGAGGCACTTGTTATCAACAATCACAAGCTTTGCAGAGCTGTGCACTGACGGGGTTTGGACCTGTTGTTCTCTGCATGGGGAGGGAGGAGTGGAGGAGGGGGTGGAGAAAGAGGTCATTTACGTCTGATTGCTTCCACTTCTGCTCCTTTGTTGGGGTGATTAGACTGTGCTACAGTTTCTATTTGAAAAGTAAGGTTTCATCCTTGTAAATGTACATTAACTGATTATTTTTATCAGGATTTTTGATCAGAAGAAGTTGTGCAAAAAACTCAGAGGCCTGCTCTAACCTCATTTCCTTCACTAAGACTGAAGACTTTCTGGCCCTTTGGGAGCTGAACAGAGGAAATAGAAAAAACATACAAACTCTGTGGCCTTTTAAAAGCCACTGGGGAATATCTGTGTGGATGAACTCATACATATAAGAAAAGATAACAGTGCCAAAACACTGTGTATACAGATCCCCCCCCCCCAAAACACAGTTAACTTGGAAACTGTGACAACAAATAAAGAGAATAAAATACCCTCTCAGAGGAGTAATGCTCTAAACAAAAAAAAAAGCATCATTTAAACACATCTCAAAAAAGAAGTCATTAAAATGTTGAGGGCACTATTTATGGTTAAATAAAATAAAAACAAATGAAGAAAGACCTCGATTGAAAAAATAGACACCTGCACAGAAGTTTGTTGATTTTCTACAATGCCTCCACATCGTGTTCTCTCAAAAACACTTGCAAGTGATGATCTTGGTAAACCAAGGTCAACTGACACTCCAAAACATGACCTGCACGCACATCCAAGAGAGGTTGGAAAATATACGTTTTTCCTTGATAATCAATTTAAAGTGAATTCTCAGGTTTTTAAAAATTTTCTGGATCAGATTGAATCATCATTAGATCTTATTCCCAGTGAACACATCCTCATCTGAAAGGGTCAAAGCTGAAAACCAAAGGAAAAAATGACTGGATGGAAACTTCTCCAAATCTCTGTCAAAAGTAACAATTGTTTTTCAGCTATAAAAGACATACTGCTGTGCGTTGCAGTTCTTCTGTCACTGACTGACACTGACATGTACAATTACCTGTGTGCTTACATCAAACACAGAAAACCTAATGGACCTGTGTCTGTGATTCATTGCACCCGTCTCATTAGAAAATACAATTTAATTTGACACAGGAGCACTTTGCTTTGAACTGCAGAGATGATTCAATATGAATTAAAGGCGTCTGCCTCACATCTTACGACAATAAAGACACAACATGTCTGTTAAAGATGGAAAAGGCAGACGATGCCTCTAATTATCCAGAAATTATGGATACATTACATTCTTAGCTGTCCCATCCAGTAACATGGAGGACGTGGGGTTTGTGACCTAAACTGAAGCCAACCACCAGGGGGAGATAGGGATGCTTAGGCATCACTTTTGAGGAGCCGTCATGTCATCCACCCTCACATGTGAGCAACATTGTCAAGGTGATAATCGTATGATGACATCGATGTTATTCTGTGTGTGTGTGTGTGTGTGTGTGTGTGTGTGTGTGTGTGTAGCACGGTGGAACATTCACAGGACAAATAACAACAATAATCAGAGCACATTTAATCAGGGTTTCACAGTTTATTTTGAATGTGACTTTACTCTATCCAGAATCTGCCTGTTCATATCAAACACCTGCAGAACAGCTCCTCCTGTCAGGATGAAACGTGGCTCTGAAAAGTTTGAGGTTGGGTTACAAAAGATTCTAAAAGTTATCACAATCAGAAACTTGTCCTGCAACTTAGTCAACGTTTCCCACAGTCAAATCAAATTCTTATTCTATTCAAAATAAATATATGAAAGTTCCAGCTAAAGTAACCTTCGAGGCCATGGGACACTTGGGACACACATGAGAGGACAATGATAATTCATCATTCAGCAACTTTTGTATCGGAATCATTCAAAACTCCTGTAGCAGAGGGTTTCATACTCAAGAAGAGACACGTCTTGAGTGAACAGATATACTAAGTGGCACAAAAGCAAGGTGATTGAAATAACAGTTAATAATGTGAATGACATGGAGACAGCAGCTTGTGTTCAGGCAGGAAGGATCTGTGAGGGTCAGTTTATAATGTTGATGCTGCTGAAGCTTCTTGGTGAGAAGAACAGTGAACGATCAAAACTGAGAAAAAAACTTCTGTTTCTTCTATCAAACGAGTCAAAGGTTTCTCCACACAAAACACAAACAGTTATTTTGTGACTTTGTGTAGTTGTTTTAGGTCCAGATGACATTTTGGTTCATCTTTATTAACATCTGTCTGCATATGAATGCATATACATTAGAAGAATTGTAGCCGATGTATTCCGGTCAAAGTGTTTCACCTCTTTTGCTCTGCACACAGAAAGTTTACCTGCAGGCAACCAAAGCCATCCTCAAACGTGATTGGTCAAACTAGAAATCAGATGGCTTCCAGCCCTGATATCTTGTCCCTCATCCACAGATTCTTCATATTCACATACACAGATCATAAGTCTTTTTATACTGACTCTAATCTTCAGTTCATGTCCAGGAAAAATCAACTTGTGGACACTTGACTTGACTTGACTTGACTTGAGGCCAGTGTTGTTGAAAGTCCCAGCAGCGTCCTCACATGTTCCCGTCACGTTCTCATGGGAAGCCCTGACATTTGAGATGAAACAGACAAACAGAACTGAGCGGATGAGCTACAAATTCCCACAAGACAAAGAAGAGTTTGTCAAACTTTGATGTCTTTAAAGAACGTAATAAAAAATCTGCTTCTGTTTGATTTGTAATCAGACGTCCGGGAATCTCAAATGAACACATCAACCCAAAATAGTTTTTTGTGATTTTCAGTGCTGCAAAGAAACTAAGCACATTTGCACAAGTGCTGTACTTCAGAGAAAAACTTAACTTAAGAACCACTTCATGCTACTCTCAACACAATACACCTCAGACTCCCTGTAGTTTTCATTCCACTACATTTATTCCACGACATCCTATCATCAATATCTAAAACATGATGAATTGTTTTTTAATAAACAATCTAAAAGTGTAATGAGTCTTTTTATAGTGTATTTGAGTAGCTGCTACTTTTGCTTGAATGAAATAAAAGTAACAAATACTTATTTTAATGATTGTTACACATTTTCTGTGTAAGATTCGTGAATTATTCTCAAAGAAATCGACATATATGTTGAAAAAAACATCGCACAATGTAAAACTAAGGGAGAACAAAATGCTGGATCCACCCCCTGATCTGGATCCACACCAAAATGTAATGTCTTCATCCTTGGGTCATGGCCCAGTCCTCCACAATATGTCATGGAAATTGGTTGTGTAGTTTTTGTGTAATTGTGCAAAATGACTAAATAAACACAGACGAAAACCTTATTAGGAAAGGGAATAAACTGAGCGTCACTTTCACTAATGACATGATCCCTCGCTGGCTTCCTGCCCTCAAACAAGGATTCTATCTCAGTCACCGAAAGCTTTAGCACGGACTGAATCTGAGGAAATGTGGATACAGTTGCTCATGCCAGGCTGGATTTTAACTCAAAACTTGCAGCTACCTGGTTACTTCTATGTAACTGTGCCAACAGGACACTCTGCAAACAGGCTATTTTAATCCCTGTAACCATGGAGACCTCTCTGTACTGAGAGAGAGGAAGAGAAAGAGAAAGGGAACATACACTACTCAGAAATGTTGACAGGCTCAAGAGTTACACAAAAGTACAACATTGTCCAACCATTATAAAAATCTAATTTTGTATCTGTCACGCAGCCAGTTGTGGGTTTTTATTTCCTCCTCCCCTCCAACACAGGAACGTGTGACACGTGCTCGGCCCTGTCTGCCGTTCCTGCTGACCTACAACACTGCAGCGCACAGGTAAGTCCTCCTAATTAGACACTGTACAACACTGTGGTCCAAACAGGGCCCAACAGTGTGCAGGCTCGTTTAAAAATACACAGCATCTCCACGGCGTCTCTACAGGATCCCCTGAGCTGTTTGAAACCAGCTCACCTAATGATGACGTTCATTGGTCCTAGCAGTAAATTTGACTTGTGTATCTCAGACATCTGGCAGCGAGGTGACAGTGCACACAACAGAGGAGACCAGGAGGGGAGAGGTTGAGGAGGAAGCAGGTGTGAACAGGGATGTAAGTCAGCACCATAACCACACAACGCATCTGTGTTTTTGTTTGTTGGCTTTTTGATTTGAGATTAAGAAAAGTCTCAGAAGAATCAAAATGCTGATCGTAACCACAGAACATTGTGGCTATCAAATGTGTGTCTGTGTTTCTAAAAACCTCTGATCAATACCGGAGATAATTCAACTGCTACTTTATGACACAATGGTGGTCAAAGATGATGAATATGTTCCATATGG